ACAAAACAAACCTTGAAATTTAGACACCTGATTTTATTTTATGCTGACAATAAAATCCTTAAGGTAGCAACTCAGTTTTATGCATTCCAATGTTTGGTGTATTATAAAGATTCAAATAAAATTGGTCGACCCTCATTGTTTGACTACTTATTGACTTTTGTAAGTGAAAAAAAAGGGAAAAGGGAAAATTATTCTAAACTATGTGCTAAGCATCAGGGGGTTCAATGCAGATCTGTTTATCTCCAACCAGGAATACACTGTTGTTCTGCTCTAGGGATCAACATCTACATGGGCTATAAAGTGCCTAGAGTTCTTGGGCACAACTCCAAGAACCATTATGTGAATGATGAGACCCCTGAAGTTGGACCACATTTTTTCCTACCAAAAGCTGTGCACTTCCTGCTCTCTTCTGGGGCAAGTGTGCTCTTGTTTCTCCCTCTTCTTACAAGATGGCCTATCTCTAGTGGAAATAGGGCATAAAGGAATTTCAGAAACCATGGAAAATTTAGTTCTGGGTAATGTAAACCTTAGAAGGCATTATCATTTTTAGGATATCTTATTTGAATTACTTGAAGATCTTGTAAAAATGTAGATTCTGATTTGGAAGGACTAGGGTGTGGCCCGAGATCACTTTTAATAAACTCTGAAATGATGCTTATGCTGTTGATCTATGTATACATTTGAGTAGCAAAGCCTTAGAGTATATTGAAACCCAGAGGCAGAACTTTCCCTCCCATTTGAAATTTAGAATCTTTTGGAAACTTCTTAGGTAATAAATGAGACCATACTTTGCCCCCTGAGTTGCAGATTCCAATAATGAGCTCAAATTGCTTTCTTGATGTTGTCACAAAACTTGATTATTCCAAAATTGTGAGGTGACAGAATCTCTTAGTTTTTACTAGGTTGTCATTGTGACTATGGAGTCTGGCTCTACAATAATGTAGAATTCTTGTGTTAAAGATTAAAATAAACTTGGGCTGGGATTGTGGCTCAGCAATAGAGTTCTCGACTAGCAAGGGTGCAACCTGGGTTCGATTCTCAGCACCACATAAAAATAAAGGCATTGTGTTGTGTCCATCTACAAAAAAGTTTCTCTCTCTCTCTCTCTCTCTCTCTCTCTCTCTCTTAAAATAAGATTAAAATAAACTTTGACAAAGAGGTATGAAGGGAAGCGTGGGGGAGGTGGGAATAGGAAATACAGTAGAATGAACTGGCCATAACTTTCCTATGTTCATATATGAGTACACAGCCAGTGAAACTCCACATCACATACAATCATGAGAATGGGAAGTTACACTCCATATATGTGTGATATGTCAAAATATACTCTACTGTCATGTATATGTAAAAAGCACAAATTAAAAAAAGATTAAACTCATATAGATGAAGTTTTTGAAAAATTAACTTGATTGGTCACATTTCAAACTCAAAAATCAATTCAATGTCATTTGATCACCTATTATTTTGGAGAGTAAGAATTCAAAAGTGACTAAGGTAATTCTGTTCTTATGGGGGCCACTATCAGAGAGATATAAAAGAAAAATAAGTAGATAATTATAAGACAGTTAAGTTAGTACAAATAATATTGCTATGCTTAAAATTAAAAAAATGATTGCACAAAAAGAATGTACTGCTAATTATATGTGGAACAGTGTGGAGGACTTCAAAGGAGCAGAATGAGAGGACAAAATGATGGAGAAAATTATAGGCAACAGAACATAGTCAGCAATACAGGGAATAAAAACAGCTGTATTTGGAACATCTTATGTCATGATATGTACATAAATTTTCAGCTTCTGATTGTGATAGGGGAAAGATGGTTAAAGATGAGTTTAGAGAGGTATTCCCTAAGATCCTATGTGAAAGGCTGTGATTTTTATGCTAAGGAATGTTAACTTTATGCAACTGGCAAGATAAAGCCATTAGAAAACATTACAAGTGGACACAATCACATGTGTATAATAGAAAGTAGGCCTAGTGCAAGACACAGGGAAGAAAGTAGTAACTCTGGTATACAATATGGGGGAGAGACTGGAGTAATAGAAACCAGATTAAAAAAACAAAACAAAACAAACAAACAAACAAACAAAAACTACTGTAATAAGGACCATGGGGACTGAACTAAGACAAAGAACATCAGCAGCATGGAGGTGAAGAAACAGATTATAATTCAGGAAATGAAGGTGTGAGGATGGCCTTAGGCCTGAGCCTAAGCAACTCCATTTTAAAAACTCCAGTTTGAAAATTCCAGTCTCATTAAGCACATCCAACAGAGCCCTATGGCCTCAGACAAGTCACTTCCCCTCATCCTGATAAATGGACTGAAGCCTCTGGCAGGCTGTTCTTGCCTGATAAGAGGGAAAGGTGAGAATATCAGGGTGGAGACCACCAGATCAGACAGTTTTGATCCCAAGGTAAATAATGTCATGGAGAAATCCGGTGGTAGCTTATAAGGATTGAAAGGGGGGTCAAAAGCCAAAAAATTTAGTATAAATAATAGAGCTAATGAATAGGGATTCAGCTAGCTGAAACAAGGATGCACTGGAGCTGGAGGGCCTGATGAGGACCAGGACTGACATCCCATCACTTGTCATCGTTTTCCTGATCCTCTGAGTGAGTGAGTGCATCTGCTGGAAGTAAAGCCCAAGCCTTCAGACTTTTGAACTAGCACACAGAGGGAATGTCTGTCATTAGCCTGTCATAATTAAGTGTGTTTGCAGTGCTTAGAATTAATCTAGAGTTGTTTGCTGTGAATTAATTAATCTAGAATTGTTTGCTGTGAATTGATTATGTCTATTGCAGTACCCAGCATTAAAGATTGTCATTTTCTTGATTAAGAACCTATAGAATGAAATTATATTGAGTAATTTGAGTGAATAAAGCATTGAACAGGGGCAGAAGCATGTGGACATTCTTTATTTCTCCCCCTCAACTCCATATGTAGCAATTTTGCCCCCTCTCGATAGAAGGACAGTATGCTAAAATGATATATTCTGCTACTTGTTAGAAATGACATTATTCTTTAGAACTGGCAGTGACTGTCAAGATATTTGGTTAATAGGGTTGGGTTCTCTGGGCACAACACATTTTATAAATATGCACTTGCTTTTAAATTTAGGTTTATTTATGTGTGTGTGTGTGACAAAGAGCACAAACACATTCGTTTAACCTTTCAGTCCTCCCTACATGGACTCTGGTTGTACTAAGGGAAGTTCTTTGGTTCATAATGGTATGAGGATAAGCTGTGGGAAATGTACTTTATCTTGGGTGTTCTCTTAGGTCAAGGTTACCAGTCTGCAAGAATTCCTGTCATTTTTCCCTGCTGTGATTTTTTTTTTTTTTATACTGGGGAATGAACCCAGGGGGTCTTAACTGAAAGAACTAACAAGGCTCATCGTCAGAGAAAATGCCCATTTATTGAGGAACAGCTCTGCAGATTTATAGAGCTGGGGGTGGTTTGACAGTTATGACAGTTTAATGGTTGAAGGGTTTGACAGTTGGTATGGGGTACTTTCTGATTGGTGGGTAAGGATCATGTGTACCAGCAGGGCTAGTCTGATTGGTGGGTAAGGATCATGTGAGCCAGCAGGGCTAGTCTGATAAGGTGGGCAAGGATCATGTGAGCCAGTAGGGCTAGTCTGATTGGTGGGTAAGGATCATGTGATAGCAGGGCTAGTCTGATTGGTGGGTAAGGATCATGTGAGCCAGCAGGGCTCACCATTGGACGGCTCTTCTCGAGGGATGGGGAAGTTAGTCTTTGGAGCTGGGGCAACTCCCAACATTAACCACTGAGCCACATCCCCAGCACCTTCTATATTTTATTTAGAGACAGGGTCTCACTGAATTGCTGAGGCTGGCTTTGAACTCATGGACTTTCTGCCTCAACCTCCCACCGCTCCTGCCTGATATTTCTTGACCGCTCAAGGGGCAGACCCATTCCGCACACATGTCCTTCTGTGTAGCCTGATATAGAGATATATGTTTCTCTTTTCCTGCCTTTCTCAACTTTTCAAGTTTATCCATGGTGATCAGTACCAAGAAAGTTTCTCTTTGTTTACCTCCTCAACAAAGAAGGCAGACACAGATGGAGCCATAGATTGAAGTTTATGTAAACTGAGCTTCATAGTATCTCCTTACAGAGTTGTTAATGCAGAAGTGTTAGATGACATGTTATCTCCTTTTGGAGTCTTTAATCTAGGGGTGTTAGATGACATGCTATCTCTTCTTGAAGTCATTAATCTAGAAGTGTTAGATTAATTTGATAGAAAAACCTTTGAAAATTTCAATATACATCATTATTCTATCATGTCATTTGTTTGATTTAATACTCGACCCCTTTTTAGAAAGTGGTTTTGGTACACAATTTGAACCTTTAAAAAAGGTACAAATTTAATGTATATAATCTGAGGAAGTTAAACATATTATGACCAAATCTAGGAAAAACAAAAAAAGTGCAAATTTTTTTGATGATACAATACTTATAAAGAATTTTATTGTTTCTCACAGGTTAAGGGAAATATTGTTTATCGGTAACAGAAAAATCCTTACTTAACAAAACAAGTGAAAAGCACCAAAGAATCTGTCAGCAACTCTGATGAATTACAGTGTTACTAATTTACAGTTTTCAACTATACTGTAATGTAGTACTCAAAGCTTTCATAAATATCAAATCCAGTAACTCCTGAAATGACCCATAACAAACACTGACACTACTCCTTTAATTCTTCCTATGTTCACACTTAAATACTGATTTAGTTCATGAAAAACAAGTCTTCTTTTGCAACTAAATGGATTAAGATTAAATATACAATACTATCTCTTTTTGAAATAAGATTATTCATACCTAAATAAAATAGAACATAAATGTTACTAAATGAATAACCAAACATTCCTTGTTTTAATTTTAGATGGCTTCCAATGTTCAAAAACAGTTTAAAGGCTTTTTGGTAAAGACTAAAATATAGCCTATTCTTCTTTTATGAGAGAAATGTAGAGTACCCTTGATTATACCCCTGCAAATAGGACATTTTCTTAGAGATGGGGCATACTCCTGGCATATTACCAGATGACCGCAAGGAATGAACACAATAGAAACTTCTTTGTCCATACACACCTTGCAGGTTATTTCTTCTTGTAATCTCCTCAACTATTCTTCTAGTGGCAGACCTGAAACATCTTCTGTTGGAATATACTTCATATTCTTTTCCACAAATAAGTTCTCATATAATGTAGAGTCAATTTCATTTAGACAGTTTTTGAAGATGTTGGCTGCAGCATTTCCTTTAACTAAAATGGTATCAATCAGTTCTCTTGCTTGTAAAGGTATCTGTGTTTTTTTTTGTTTAATAATATCATGTTCCTGTTTATTAATTACATTGGCCTTTAAAAGATTATCTAAGATAGGAAGGACACATGTCAACTGTTGAAAGAGAGCCATTGTATTCTTCCGTATTAATGACAAATCATCTGATGCCATTTCTTCAGCTTGTCTTTCCTTCTCCTCTTCTCTTCTTTCATCTTCAGCATCAAGAAGTGCTGATACAATATCATTAATTGTTTTATAACTCTTTCAAGTGGTTAGGATTTTACTTTGAACTGTCTATTTTACCAGACTTCTACTAAATCCCATTTCCAAAGCAGATTTAACCACAGGTGTATTCATCATGACTGCATCTTCTGAAGAACTTTCTCCAGGTCCCAAATGAACAATTGGTTCAGCATTTTCTTCTCCAGGAGTATCTGATGTTGACAACAGCTGTTCAGGAAGATGAGGATATCTAGCTTGAATCTCATCAACAAACTCTTGCCCTTTCATTCGTATCAAGAACTCACACCTTGGAAACCATTTGGCATGTTCTACCCATGGATCATCTCCAGATTCCCAACATCTCAAGCCACCATCACAACAAAAGCATTTGACATCATCATTGCGATCCATGTAATAAAAACTAGCACTTGCAAACTGCTCAGGCTGAACTGGAACACTAGCTGGCCAGTACATAAATGTTCTCATTCGAGCTGTGTGTGTCTGCATGCTCAGATTTGAAATACTAAACCTCAGAGTTTCTAGAGAATTTTCCAAAAACGGACAGTTAGGAAAATGTCTCCTGTGTTCTGACATAGCACCATCCTTTGGTTCTCAGTTACATAGCTTCCCGCCACAGGCAAAGCAGGCTACCCTATCTCCAGGTCCTGCATAGTAAAAGCCAGCTCTCGCCAATTCCAATGGTGACAAAAAGGTTAAGGGCCACATATTATAAGTAAGAAATCTGGCTTCTTCAGTACTCATTGCATAACTATAGGGGTTAGTCCTCAATTGAGAGAAGTCTTCAACAGCTCTAGAATTAAGAGGATTTGGTGAAAGGCAGGAATAAGAATCGCTGAATGAGCCACTACATTCCAAACTGGAAGATAATGAATGTGCAACATGGTTTCTCATTGGAGAGGTATTCTTAGAAGTGGATTGCAGACTAGCTGAAAGCAAATTCTGAATAAAGCTGCAGCTAGGCTATAGCTCTTTATGCTTTTCAATAGGACTATCTCCTTGTTTCCAGTTATCCAGCATCAGGCCACAACAGAAACATCTGACTTTGTCATTCACACCAGTGTAATAAAAACCAGCACGAGCAAGACTCCTTTCTGAAACAGGAACTCGGATGGGGAAAGTTGAATATGTAGACATTCTGTAGAGCTCACATGAAAAATCACACTTCATTGTTTGTTTGTTGTCATTTGTCCAGTTTGAGAGGATTGTGCTGTCTTCCATTATACTCCTTATTTTATGATGCAAGGGATCTTGGATAACTCTTTGAAGGTAGTTTTGTGCATGAATAGGAAGCAGTACTTTTTGATGGCTAAAACTTTCACATACAATTTCTTGTCACTTTTTACCACACACACACAAAAAAAAAAAAAAAATCAAAGACTTCTATTTAGTTGAACCTCCATACACTCTTTACTAGATTTATATTTCTCCTAAATTACCAAGATACTTTGGGATTCTATTAACACTTTTATGTAACCTACATGCTATTTGCTCACAATTTGGTATAATAACTGACTTAAAGGCCTGAAAAAATTTTATACACTCCTAAAAGTATTAACATTATTTTTCAAAGAAGTTTATATTCTCAAAATTCTAAGTAACTATAGAATATCTAAATTACGTTTTTTAATTTGCTTTTGGTTACAAGCTATAAAGCCTAGATATAAGGACAATTACTGATTATGCCACAAAAATAAAGTTAAATTTAGGCTTTTTTCCCTTTATAAGAAGTTTACTGTGACATTCAAACTAATCACATCTTATTCTAGCAAATAAGTAATTAAAATTTTCAAAGGGTCACATTATTTAAAATCTAGTTGCACACAACTTATCACAGAATTGACTTACGTGGGTTATGTTACCTTCAGCCAACAACTTTTGGGGAAGTCAACACCCAAAGCCTTATTATGTCCCTTCTCACCTCTTATATGAGATGCCAAATGAATATTGTTTAAAGCTCACTGTTAACTCTTCTACCTTTGCCAAACATTATCTATTTTGTTTCTATTTCCTGCAGTATCATGTTGTCTTTCTTCCTAACTCTGCATATCTCTTTATTATACCTGGTCAACTGACGGTATATTCTCCATTAAAATCAGACATAAAATTTCCACAGCACACACTTTCTATATTGCATTAAAAAATTTAAATAAACTGATTTTCATTTAAGGACCATTCAGATATGGTATCAGTCATGATAAATGAGGAATCAATTTATCAAGACAGCTCTTTTGTTATCACAAATGCCTAACACTATATTACCAATAGAATTACTGTTTACACAGAATGTATCAGAATTTACTAGCTTTCTTTATGAAAACTCAATATATTAAAAATATAGACAAAATTACACTCCATAAAATTCAAATTTTATCTCTCTATAAAGCTTTGCACTTTCCATAATGAGATTCATTTCTGCAGGGGAAAAAATGACTAGGGGGGAACTCTTCAGGGCTGTACATCACAGTACCAGCACTGAAAGCACGAAAGCAGGGCGGCTGCTAGGAGGCCTCCTTACACCAGGAAAGCAAGTCAAAAGGTACAAATTTAACGTATATAATTTGAGGAAGTTAAACATATTATGACAAAACCTAGGAAAAACAAAATGTTTATTTTATAATTTTTGGATATAAATATACAATCATATTATCCAAATCCAACAAATGTGTGTTGAACTCTTTTCATATATACCTCACTGAGATAGGTCCTATGAGTATCCAAAACAAGACAGCTGTTTATCATTTAATATGGCTAAATAAATAAATACAATTTATTCAACTATTGGTATGATATTGAATGTCCAGTGAACATAAGCTGATCCAATAAGATCCAGTGAATGAATGACCCCTTGAAGAGGATCCCAGTGTAGATTGTTAGAGAGAAAGCTCTGTAGAGTTAGGAGCCTTCCCTCCTCTGCTTTGTTTTGTAATATTTTTGAAATCCTTTGTTATATGTCGCGACCCCTTGCCCGCAAGGAAGACGCAACTCAGGAATCTTCTTTCAGCAGTTTATTCAGGCCCTTGATATTTCTTCTTCTCTCCCTCGGATGCCCCTCCCAGCCTTAATAAAGCATCTCAAGCCCCAATGTGAAGCTGCCACGTGGAGCTTTCTCATAGGGTGGTGAAAAACCATGCGCCAACTCTCCCAAATAAGGAGTTGTTTGTCACAGACCACAGCGGAGCCAGCGCCATCTTGTAATGGCGACCATAGTCTGCAGAAACGGCAGAAGCGGCTCACCACAGTTCCCCCTTTCTGTTTTCTTAAAACAATACAGGCGAGAGTAGAGGTCCTATCCCACTGTGCAGAAGTGGCTGCATAGTATGGCTCAGTCCTAAGGAGGGCCCTTCCCCAGATCTGAGGCCATATCAGCCGACGCCTTTTTTCGTGGGGCGGGGCGTGGACGTGTCTAACCCGCATGCAATAGGACATGCTCTCCTTGAGGTCCACGTCAAGGATCACTCAAGTGCAGTGCCTTGCCTCGCATCCTGTATCGTGACGATGGTGGACGAAGGGGGATAGCTGAGGCTGAACTGTGACTGTTTATAACGACAAACGAGTTGACAGCACCCTGAAAGAAAGGCACGGACTTTAAGGCGATAGAAAAGCACTAGTGTGGAAACCCATCTGCGTGCAATGGCAGTAAGACCGGCAGAGTGCAAGGGCTTTCCAACACTAAGAGAATAACAAGGAAAGTCATGTCGATCCCAGTGCAATGTTATAATAACTTGGGGTGTAACGACCATGTCAAAGGTTTACTGTTTAAGATGCGCAAGCCAGACTTGAGGTGAGTTGCCATTTTCTAAAGCTGCAAGAGCTTGTATGATCATAGCCTTATCGTGAGCACTGTGGGCCTTAAGGCGACAGAGAAACCACAAACAGAGGAACATACCGAAGCAACACATTGCACCAAAAATGCCCACTCCCACCCATTCCTTAAAAAAGGAAAAGGCAGAGGATAGCCAACTGGTGAATTGACCCAAAGTCACTGGTTCGACACGGGTGCTATTCAAAACAGCAGTCTGAGTTAGTTGAGACTGGATCAAGTTTTCTGCTTCCATGGACCAGGTTCCGGATAGATATTCCCCGATGATGCGGGAGGCATTCCTGGAATCATTAAATCTGACAGAGGTTATACATAAATGTGCACGTTGATCAATACAACCCAAATGTACTAGATCAGACAATTCCTCAACTTGAGCTTGAAGCAGATCTATCCTTTGATTAGCAGCCAAAATCCCAGATAGAATGTGTTGATTAATTCTACTTTGAGATTCAAGTATGGTGGATGTTTGTTGAATAACCTGATTAATAGTGGCAGTAGTTTGTACCTGGTTGGCCATGGCTATTCCAGCTGTAACTGCTGCAGCAGCAGATACCGCCACAGCTGTCACTATAGCTGCCGTAATTCCAAAATCTCTACAGGCTCTAATCAGTTCAACAATAGGAAAAGATTCTGGATCTGCAGTAACCGGGATCGGGACAAAGGTTGGAATTTTCATAACCACTGCCGTAGTCCAGGAGACATTCCAACACTCAGACAAATAACAGGTAATATTAGAACAATTAAGCATCCCCTGTGATGTAACATTAGCCAAAAGGAACAGAAACGGAGATTGGAGACAGACTGCTGCAGAGGGTAATGTAACATTAAACAATTGTGAATTGTGTGAAGTAATTTTAAGTCTCCTACCTCGCTCCGAGTCTTGGGTACTGCCAGAAACATTAAACAGCCAACTTTGGACTCCTAATATTTCCCTGGGGAAACACAAGTGCGGACTAGACTAGCCCAATCTGAGGGAGTCATGCAGTATCTAGACAGACTCTCCACCTGAGTTAGTGTGAAGGCGGCATCCACCCCATAAGTGCGCACAGACTCCGCCAGGGTCTTCACAATTTTAAAATCTAAGGGTTCATGGAATCTTCCCCTATTGTCATCCTGAAAAACTGGATAAGCAAGACCCATCTTAGCGTTAACAGCCCTCCATGTTTGGGCATGGAAAGCTCTCCCCGAAACACCCCCACCATACGGCGGTGGATCCGGGGGTTCGCTTTTCTTGAGCCCCTGTTTATTTCTGTTCCCTTCTCCTATAGCTAAACTCTCTAGCTGACGAGACAGCCTCCCGAGCTCTTCCTCCTCATCCTCCTCTTCCTCTGACCCACTTTCACATGGGGGTGTGCGCAGCGTACTGAGATCTGGATACAATCGTCTCCTCCCCTGTTTCACGCTCCGCACACTCCCATCCTCCTGAGGCACCTCACTTCCTGCCGTCTCCGATTTCTCCTCATGTAATTGCTCTAGAACTTCCTGTCCTTTAGTAAGTGCTTCCTGACATCTGCCATCTGTAAGGCAACTACGGACCATTTTCCAAAGGGGTATCACCCCACCCTCTAATATGCCCTGCTCAGAAGCAAAGTCAAGATCTTTGCCTAATTTATCCCAACTAGGTACAGTAAGGCTGCCCGAAAATGCAAACCACGGTGCAGCGATATCTATCTTCTGTAAAAATCTCTGTAAAGTACTATGTTTCACTCCCAGGCCCTTGGAACGTAACAGGCCATCTAGGGCCAGGAGAAGCGGACTTGAAGATGCGGCACCCATGACACAACAACAAAAGAAGCACAAAAAACAAAAGCGAAATGACACAACAAAAGAAACACAGAAAACAAAAGCGAAAGTAGAAGCGAAAGTACACAGTGCAGCTGCAATAAAATGTAATGCTCTCTCTTTCTTTACAGACGAGCTGCCCCGCTTTGGTCGCGGATCCCACTTACCTGGGACTAACCCCGCTTTGATCGCGGATCCCACTTATTGGGACTAACCCCGCTTTGGTCGTGGATCC